GGACCATCTTCTGTTTTAGTAGAACAGGGTACCCCCAGCTGACCAGTCCTCAGGACAAGTCTAGGGACCTGCAGGGTGGAAGGGCGGCAGGAAGTCTGCCAGACTCCAACTGTGACAAATTGAAGCAGCCTTTTGGCCTCTGAGCTTCAGTTTCCTCATCTCTCCAGATTAGATAAGTGACTGTCTTTAACATTTGAAAAGCTGAGGATCCATACATTGTAATTAATCCTAGCGTTTGGGAGGCTGAGGCAGGAGAGTCTCTGCAGGTGCAAGACAGAAAATATGAAATTAGTGTTTCTTCCTTCCCACCACAGACACGCATGCATGACGCCATATCGCAGGGATGTCACACAAGACCATGGACTCGGGTCAAAGCCAAAGGATTAGAAGATGACTAGATGGCCTGTTGCAATCTCCTGCAGTGCCAGTGACCTGGGGAGAGACCAGAGCCCCTGTGTGAGCTCAGACCCTGCCTCCACCAGAGGAAGGTCACGCCAGCGAGGCGGTGGAGCCCCGTTCGTGCTGAGGAGACAGGAGTTTCATGTTATTTCCTGCTGCCTGTATTTCTCGAGAGGAAGCCACGCAACACGCAGGGTCCTCCGCAGGTAGTGCAGTGGCTGAAGGTGTTTTCTGGCCTCGGCCTGCCTGAGCGGCTGTCACAGCCAAGTGTCTAAAGCTGCTTCCCTCCCGAGAGCGCCCGCAGCGGCAGGGTGAGAGCGGGGATTAGAAGTCCTTCGTTACAATTCCTCCCTCTCGTGTTCTTCCGGCGTAACTGGTCACGGAAGACCTGGTCCTTGGCAAACGCGTGGGGTTTTGCTGCTCTTCTGAGGAGCCTCAGGGGCAGCCACCTATTGCATGAGGATCTGTTATTTCCCATCCGTGTTCACTGACTGACGAGCCAAACTCCCTGACCTAGATTCAAGTGGGCAGCGTGACATCCTGATCAGTACTCGGGTGGCAAAGCAGTCCATCTTTTTTTTTTTTTTAATTAATTAATTTGTGTGTGTGTGTGTGTGTGTGTGTGTGTGGCCAGCTCAGGCTGGCATGTGGTGCTGGGGGATTGAACCGTGGTCCCTGTGCTTTGCTAAGCTTGTTCTAAGTAGATGCTTTAGACCACTGAGCCATCTCACCAGCCCAAAGCAGCCATCTTTACTGGGGCCATTTTGCATCCTTTTGGTCACTGGACAGCGGAGGCGTTTTTGGTAGTCATGGGGTAAAGGTGCTCCTGGCACAGGGCAGCAGAGGGCGAAGATGCTGCCAACAGTCTGCATCCACGCCCCGGGCCCCCTTGACAGAAGATCAGGTACGAAATGCGAGATGCGAAGGTCTCCACTTAGAAACACCCGCTGTTCATTCAGCTGCTCAACAAGCTCAGATCCAGCTGGCCACCACCGTGCTGGGTGTCAGGTAGGACCATCACCAGAGCCCCCTGGGGAAAAAAAACCACCACCAAACAGTGACTTCTCATCACGGGGTCTACTTCAGGGGCTGGGAGTGGTCTCAGTGAAAGAGAGCTTGTCTAGCATGCCCCAGCCCTGGGCTTGATCGCCAGTGCCACAAGGAAGGAAGGAGAGAAAAGGAAGGAAGGAAGGAAGGAAGGAAGGAAGGAAGGAAGGAAGGAAGGAAGGAGACAGCGTCACATCCAACATTCCCAGCAGGACTTTGCTTATCTTTAGAAAACTGTTTGAAAATAATGAATGATTTCAACATTTAAAAAAAGGCAGCCCATGGGGGCCTGCCAGTTAGCTCCGTTTTTTAAGCGCCTGCTAATGCGAATGCAGTCAGTTGCAGGATACAGCGGTTCGATCCCCAGCTCCACATGCCTTAGCAGACCCGCCCTTAAGGTAGCCTGAGCCAGCCAAAAAAAACCTTCTCAACTTAAGGGGGGCACTGAGGAGACAGCTCAGTAGAATAGGCGCTTGTCTGGCAAGCACAGGGTCCTGAATTCAATCCCCGGTGGTGGGGGGCAGCCCCTGTCTCTCAAAAGTAACATTCTCTTAGGTTGTTCTAGAATACCAAAAGGACGGGCCGTACATTTACTGAAAAATACCATAATCTAAAGTGCTTCTAAAGCTTGAATTGCCCCTTCTTATAGGTTCCATTCATTGGCAAGAAATGTAGTTTTATCTTGGAATGAATTTTGACAGTAGAAGAGAAGCATTATTTCTGTCCAGGCAGGACAAAAGATGCTGGAAAACAAGGAAAATTGATTTTTTTTTTCCTACTAAAATTCTTAAAGGAAAATGGAAGGTATTGGGCTGGAGGTTGGCAGCCGGCTGCCCGTGCTATCTTGCAGTGTCACGCCACCCGCAGCTGCCAGGCACAGTCGCCACAAGTTGGGTGGTGTGAAGCGGCCAAGTCCACCCTGCCTAGTTCTGGCCCACTCGGCCTCTCCTAGCTGCCAGTGCTGCCAGCGAGCCCAGGAGTCCCCAAGCCTGCTGCCATGTCGCTGTGTCACCCCGCCTCTGCCTCACATGATGCCTCTAGTGTGTGCCCGTCTGCACACGGCCTTCTTGTAAGGACTCCAGTACTGGACGACACGGGCCCTCCCTGTGACCTCACCCAGAACTCGGCACAGCTGCAAAGATCCTAGTTCCAAAGCAGTTCTCCCCCAGCGTCCACGTAGACGCCCTCCCCGGGCGCGTTATGCGGCCCGAGCAGACCGGGCTGGGCGACTACGCAGGCTCACATCTCTGCAGCTCTACTTTCCAGCATTCTTGCTTGCTTCTCTTTCTCCCTCCCTCTCTCCCTCCCTCCCTTCCTGTCTCCTTCCCTCCCTCCCTCTCTCTATTTCTTCCCCCTCCCTCCCTCCTTTCCTCCCCCGCTTTGAGACAGGGTTTGATTATGTAGCCCAGGCTGGCCTTGAACTCACTTTGTAGCCCAGGCTGGCCTTG